GTTTCGGACCAAATGTGGCGAAAAAGCGGTCATTTGTCTCTTGGGATGAGATCTTCTCGAAGTCCATCTCTATTGATGTCAAACACCGACAATGGCTTACAATGACTGCAAGGATGCCATCGATTGGCAGCGTTTGTGACACTTCTATGTGTCCAACAAATGAGCACTTCTTCAGCAGTGCTATCAATGCCTCGCTTTTCACATATTGTCGCCCAAAGAGATCCAATTGTCGCCACTTTTGGATGAGTTTGTCGTCGATTACGAGACGTGAAGAGTGTCTGTTCCGGAAGAGTGTCTTTGAATTGTTGTGAAACGCATTGCAAAGCAAACGACTCCTCGATGTCGAGGAATGACAGCAAAAGACAACACAAATCGTCACCAAATCTGTCGAAAGAGTCTCTCATTTCGTCAAAAATGACATTTCATTTCATTTCAAACAAATGTTGTTTTGATTATGAATTTCGTTCACAAATAATGTTGTGTTCAAAAAGTTTTCACTTCTTTTCACATAAAAGTTTGTTTTGCGTCAAAAATCATTGATTTATTGAACATTTGAATGAAAATCATTTTTATTTCTTATAATAGTTATTAAATATTGTAATCATTAGTAAATGAAATCATTTCTCCGATTAAATAAAAAAACGACAAAAAGATTATTTGTATTAAATTTATAAATTAAAACAAAAATAACTATAAGAATGGAGAAAACATTAAGAAAGTGTGTCAATGATTATGATTGGGACACAAATGAAGAGAAATGTTGTTTAAACGCCAAAGAAAACTCTCGTTTTGTCACTTCTTTACTTCGATTTCGCTTTCCTTTCATTCTTTTCGAGTCAATAATATTCAAAATATTGACAATCATTTCTTCGGTCTTTTCGGGGATATCATTGGATTTGTTGTAATGTAGACCAAGAATCTCGTGGACATTGTTTTCAATGAAAATCATTAAATCACTTCTGAGTTCTTTCATCTCAAACATGAAAGCGATTCGTGAGATTTGCGGCAAATTCTCGGCCGTCACTTGAATTAACTTTAAGTATTCTTCGACAGCTTTAGTCAATGCTTTCAATTGGTAGCGATCGGCCAATCGATACACTTCGGCGATCAGATCCATGTCCTCGCTGTCCGAGAATTTCAGTTGAGTTGTGTATAAGTAGAAGATCATGGCTTTGAAGGCGTCAACTGTGGTGCCAGTGATGAGAACCTCCTTCTCTTTGGATTCAACAGAATCGCCGAAAAGCATGGATCGGAAGACATAACTGTTGAGAGCCAATAGAATACGAATGGCAGGAATCCGGTGGCCGTCGATCACAAACACCACATCACTCACCGAATCGTTCAGAAAGAAATCCTTTTGCGGACAATTCATGTCTGACAACAATATAGATCTCTTCGATGGCAACGATTCTTTGGATTTGGATTTAATTGTAGATAATATTTGACGGTTTGAATGAATTTATTTGAATGAATGAATTGTAATCTATTTATATCTCGTGTATAAAAGCAACTGTTTTATCAATTTATTGTTTAAATTATTAGTTTTTATTGTATTGAAAATGTTAACAATTTTCACACAGAAGTGTAGTTAATAATATAATTATTAAATATCGTAATCATTAGTAAATGAAATAATTTCTCCGATTAAACAGAAAACCGATAGAAAAGCACCGAAAATAAGACAAACAAAACTTATTAAAACTTGTGTTAAAGTCAAGCGCTGTTCACGAGATTCTTCACTCAATTTGTTGTACTTCTTATAATCGATGGCATTGTTTAAGACGTCAACCATTTTATAGAAAGGTATCGTTTCGACGATCTTTTGGCCGTAAATTCCCGAAACTGTCAATCTTTTCAGACTATAAACAGAAAGTAATTAAAAAACACAGTAATTGTCTTACGATTTATTATACGTTTGGCGGAAATATTCTTTGAATTTTTTGTCCACAGATTTTCTGAGTGGAAATCCATGTAAAGTATAGTCTCCTTCTTGTGTTGAGGCGAAGAGATTGTATTCGCGATAATGTCTGACCATTCGGTCGATGTCTTCACGAGAATCCACTAAAACCTTGTTTTTATTCATAATTTTAAGTATGACTCGAGAATCAAAGGCCTCTTTGTGTTCAATTAACTCCAATCTATTCCTCAATTCCTCATATCTTTTACTTAAAATGTTCATAACGTGTGAATTCTTTACGACTAAAATATTTATTTCCTTTTTCGTGATTAAATTAATCACGAAAAAGGAAATAAATATTTTAGTCGTAAAGAATTCACACGTTATGAACATTTTAAGTAAAAGATATGAGGAATTGAGGAATAGATTGGAGTTAATTGAACACAAAGAGGCCTTTGATTTTCGAGTCATACTTAAAATTATGAATAAAAATAAGGTTTTAGTGGATTCTCGTGAAGACATCGACCGAATGGTCAGACATTATCACGAATACAATCTCTTCGCCTCAACACAAGAAGGAGACTATACTTTACATGGATTTCCACTCAGAAAATCTGTGAACAAAACATTCAAAGAATATTTCCGCCAAACGTATAATAAATCGTAAGACAATTACTGTGTTTTTTAATTACTTTCTCTGTTTATAGTCTGAAAAGATTGACAGTTTCGGGAATTTACGGCCAAAAGATTGTCGAAACGATACCTTTCTATAAAATGGTTGACGTCTTAAACAATGCCATCGATTATAAGAAGTACAACAAATTGAGTGAAGAATCTCGTGAACAGCGCTTGACTTTAACACAAGTTTTACTAAGTTTTGTTTGTCTTATTTTCGGTGCTTTTCTATCGGTTTTCTGTTTAATCGGTGAAATTATTTCATTTACTAATGATTACGATATTTAATAATTTTATTATTAACTACACTTCTGTGTGAAAATTGTTAAAATTTTTAATACAATAAAAACTAATAATTTAAACAATAAATTGATAAAACAGTTGCTTTTATACACGAGATATAAATAGATTACAATTCATTCATTCAAATAAATTCATTCAAACCGTCAAATATTATCTACTATTAAATCTAAAACAGAAGAATCGTTGCCATCGAAGAGACTATAATTGCTGTCAGACATGAATTGCCCGCAAATGGATTACTTTATGAATGAATCGGTGAGTGATGTGGTGTTTGTGATCGACGGCCACCGGATTCCTGCCATTCGTATTCTATTGGCTCTCAACAGTTATGTCTTCCGAGTCATGCTTTTCGGCGATTTTGTTGAATCCAAAGAGAAGGAGATTCTCATCACTGGCACCACAGTTGACGCCTTCAAAGCCATGATCTTCTACTTATACACAAAGAAACTGGAATTCTTGGACAATGAGGACATGGAACTGATCGCCGAAGTGTATCGATTGGCCGATCGCTACCAATTGGAAGCATTGACTAAAGCTGTCGAAGAATACTTGAAGGAAATCCAAGTGACGGCCGAGAATTTGCCGCAAATCTCGAGAATCGCTTTCATGTTTGAGATGAAAGAACTCAGAAGTGATTTAATGATATTTATTGAAAATAATGTCCACGAAATCCTTGGTCTCCATTACAACAAATCCAATGATATTCCCGAAGAGACCGAAGAAATGATTGTAAATGTTTTGAATATTATTGACTCCAAAAGAATGAAAGGAAAGCGCAATCGAAGTAAAGAAGTGACAAAAAGAGAGTTTTCTTTGGCGTTTAGACAACTTTTCTCTTCATTTATATCCCAATCATAATTATTGTCACACTTTCTGAATGTTTTTGCAATTTTTATAATTATTTTTGTTTAATTTATAAAATTTAATGCAAATAATCTTTTAGTCGTTTTTCTGTTTAATCGGAGAAATAATTTCATTTACTAATGATTACGATATTTAATAACTATTATAAGAAATAAAAATGATTTTCATTCAAATGTTCAATAAATCAATGATTTTTGACGCAAAACAAACTTTTGTGTGAAAAGAAGTAAAAACTTTTTGAACACAACATTATTTGTGAACGAAATTCATAATCAAAACAAATGTTTGTTTGAAATGCAAATCAAATGTCATTTTTGACGAAATGAGAGACTCTTTCGACAGATTTGGTGACGATTTGTGTTGTCTTTTGCTGTCATTCCTCGACATCGAGGAGTGGTTTGCCTTTCAATGCGTTTCACAACAATTCAAAGACACTCTCTTCCGGAACAGACACTCTTCACGTCTCGTAATCGACGACAAACTCATCCAAAAGTGGCGACAATTGGATCTCTTTGGGCGACAATATGTGAAAAGCGAGCCATTGATAGCACTGCTGAAGAAGTGCTCATTTGTTGGACACATAGAAGTGTCACAAACGCTAGGTTAGCTACCGTAGGAACGTCAGTAACATTCGGTAACAGCCACAAACTGTAGTTATCTCTACCTGAAGCTCTTCTAGAGTAGGGTTCTCTGTTTACTGGCGAAAAAGCGGTGTAAACCAGGCTTTGTGAAATCAATTGTCTTTAAGACTGAATCCAATAGTTTGAAGAAGACGTCGAGGAATTGGCACTTCTTTCGCAAACTAAAGCTCTGTTCAAACCTATTGTCACTTAATATGAGTTCATATCACGAAATGTCGACTATTTTTGACAACAATAACCAGATTTTTGTCAATAACTTAAAGTGTTTTGAATTCAGATGTGATTTGAGGGCAGATATGAAGAGGTTTGAGATATTTGTGGAAAACAACACCTCTTTAGAGACGTTTCGATTGAAGAGTATTTCAAACGCCGACCAAAAGAGTGTCAATCTATTGATGAAAACATTGCTTTCATTCAATCGTTTGCGAGAATTAGAGCTTAATTTTGGCTTCAATTACATCTCAACCGACAATCCGTTCATTCAATCACTCAAACGATTGGACGGCAAATGTTTGCAGAAATTTAAACTCCATTTGAGTTATAAACGAAAGACTCAATTGTTGTCAATAATGAATATAATTAAATATTTCCCACATTTAAGAGCTCTTGAGTTGTATTTCAATCGTTTCGATGAGAATCGTGTGGAAAATGATTGCAATTTGTCGTTAACAGCACTCAATCGATGCAAACATTTATCACATTTGAGACTATCTTTCGAGTCAATCATTTTGGACGACATATTCTTCGACAACATTGACATCGATTTACCAAATCTTCGGGTCTTAAGAGTGGACTCGAGATCAGAGATAACAGACATTACATTGAATTGTTTGGCAAAACTGCCAAAACTAGAATCAATTGGTCTTTTGGTGACCAAAACAAAGCTAACGGAAGAGAGTTTTGAGGAGAAACACTTGTTAACAGTATTTTAGTTAAGTTAATGTTAGATAAGTAGCTTTCCTGTTTATAAAAACTTAGTTCTTTACTAACTTTTATACTCTTCTTTACAACTTACTTAAAAATTTACGTTAATATTATTATATAAAGTTTACAGAAATATTTTTTATATATTTTAAGATATTTTTATAAATTCTTAAATACAAGTTTAACGATGGTAGAACATTAAATGGAAACGTTTGTTTGCATAGTTAAGTAATTTAATGTCCTACTAATTAAAACCTCTATGGTAATGTAATATTTTGCGCACAATGAATTTAAATATAAATTAAAACTTGGTCAATAAATGTATTTTCTAAATTATACTGTATGTCATTTCAATTACTGTTTATTACATAATTTGTTGGGAAATCTAATAATAGCGAAAATGTGTCGATAATGTTAGGTCTGGAGACTGCATACGTAATAGTATTGCTTATCAAGTCTCCAGACCTAACAATATCTTAATTTATAGCATATTTACAGCATTTAAGCGAAACATATTTCTTTTACACAATGAAGTGTTGTTTAGCTCTTTATAAGCAATACTTTTATTTTAATGATTTAAAGCAATTTAGCAAATTCATTTAGTAAATGTATAATTATAAAAATTACCATGTCAACACATAACTAGTGAATTAATTCAGAAATAACAATTATAATTTTGTGTTTTAAATAATGGGCACTATTATATTGGAAATATTCCAGTAAAATGATCAAGGTATACTGCACCGGCACATTTCAAGGATTATTCATTTACATGAGATAACATATCTTATACTGAATGGAGTTTTTACTATACTTACTGTAAATGCTTTTAATTACACATACATTTTGATTGCCCTAAAGTCTGTGTGAAGTCATAGCAATCTGTAAACACTCGTAATAAATGATAATTTTTCAGCCACTCATTGGAAATATATTATGAAATTTTCACAAACCTTATTGAAATTTTGAAGTGATTTTTATTATATAAGTGTTGAAAATGAAAGTTACATTCATTCAGAAGTCAAATACAATACTTATTGGATAAGAATTGCATTTGACATCATTTGTGGACAAGATTTTGTATCGAAGAATATTCTCTAACTCTGTGTTAAAAAACTTTTTTGAATATTATTTGAAATAAATTTTTTGAAATTCAATTGAGACCATAAGTGAGAAACTATGTCTCAGTTAAATGCTATCGCTTTATCAAAGGTGTTTAATATACACTTTCCATATAAATATTCTGTTATTAATTTGTATTGAATTAATTAGTACTTGAATAGTACAAGAATTAATTGAAGTAATTTTTAAATACAAAAATTAATCTTTATTTGCAATAATTTGTAGAAATTCTTAAACGCAACCACTTTTGGTCAGATCCGACTCATTCACAATACATCCAAATGTTGTGCAAAACAGGTTTGAATTAAATTCTTGATTTATAAATTATAATATAATTAAATTTGTTTACTTGTATTATAATTAAGGTCCCGATAAGTCGTTTCGACAAAGACTCGTATATTCCTTATGAAAAACTACAAAATAATTTAAAAGTTGTTAAAAAGAGGTAATGAATTGCAAATATTTTAAACATTTTGTGTGAGAAAGTATTTAATTAACTGAACATATGATAGACTGAATCGTCCGCTAACTTTATCCGAGAAGATATTGTACTCTCATTTGGATGACCCGAACAATCAGGACATTATTCGGGGCCAAAGCTATTTACGCCTTCGACCCGATAGGGTGGGAATGCAGGACGCGTTGGCACAGATGGTTATGTTTCAGTTCATTGCCAGCGGACTGTCCAACATAGCCGTTCCCGCGACTATACATTGCGATCATCTCATTGAAGCCCAGATCGATGGCGTCAAAGACTTGGCCCGAGCTATCGATATCAACAAAGAGGTCTATAGCTTCTTGAGTACCGCTGCAGCCAAATATGGGGTCGGCTTTTGGAAGCCCGGCAGTGGTATTATTCATCAGGTTTGGCACATATGAGTAAAATAATAAATTTTGTCAATTGTAAATTTATTCCTATTATTTAAATATCAGATTATTTTAGAGAATTATGCGTTTCCGGGAGTATTATTGGTGGGAACCGATAGCCATACCGTAAACGGTGGCGGATTGGGAGGCCTTTGCATTGGTGTCGGCGGTGCGGACGCTGTGGACGTATTGGCGGACATTCCGTGGGAACTGAAGTGTCCGAATGTGATTGGAGTCCATTTGACCGGACGTCTCAGCGGTTGGACATCACCTAAAGATGTCATTTTAAAAGTGACTGATATTCTGACTGTGAAAGGAGGCACCGGTGCTATCGTCGAGTATTTCGGGCCCGGAGTTGACTCCATTTCCTGTACAGGAATGGGAACCATTTGTAATATGGGGGCAGAGGTCGGGGCCACCACTTCTGTGTTTCCCTACAACAGCCGAATGAGAGACTACTTGAAGGCTACAAATCGTAAAGAGATTGCCGATTACGCGGACCAGACGCCAGAGTTACTGAGCGCCGATTCCGGTGCCAAATACGATCACGTGATTGAAATCAATTTGTCTGAATTGGAGCCCCACGTGAACGGACCCTTCACTCCTGATCTGTCGCATCCCATCTCAAAGTTGGCCCAAAACGCTAAATCAAACGACTATCCCATTGACTTAAAAGTGGGACTCATCGGCAGCTGTACTAACAGTAGTTACGAAGACATGAGTCGATCGGTTAGTATTGCTAAGCAGGCGATGAAACACGGCTTGAAATCCAAATCAATATTTACTGTAACCCCCGGTTCGGAGCAAATCCGGGCCACCATTGAGAGGGACGGACAGGCGGAACAGTTCCGACAATTCGGTGCCGTTGTTTTGGCCAACGCTTGCGGGCCTTGTATTGGACAATGGGATCGACAGGATGTGAAAAAGGGGGTCAAGAATTCAATCATATCGTCGTTTAACCGCAATTTCACCGCTCGTAATGACACCAATCCGGCGACCCATCACTTCCTGGCGTCACCCGAATTGGTGACCGCCCTCTCTATTGCCGGTCGACTGGACTTTAATCCGCTTTGGCTGCTTGACTGGCCGCGACTGCCGTTCTTCAAATTTGACCTCCTCGGCAGACCGCTACTCAACGGCAGCGCACCGAAACTAAACCCGCTTTTGTGTATGGTTGGCGGCGGGTCAGTACCGAGCCATGTGACGATCACTGTCAGCCCTACGAGCGATCGCTTACAACTGTTGACACCCTTTAATAAATGGGACGGAAAGGACTTAACAGATATGGTTGTACTCATTAAAGTGAAGGGCAAATGCACTACAGATCATATCAGTTACGCGGGACCCTGGCTTAAGTACCGTGGTCATCTCGATAATATTTCAAATAACATGTTTATTGGGTTAGTTTGGAAATTATAACAATTATAATAATTATAAAGCTTTATATTTTATTTATTTTATAATCTTAAGAGCGATTAACGCCGAGAATAATGAGGCAAATAAAGTAAAGAATCAATTGACGGACGCCTGGAGTCCAGTGCCGGAAACGGCCCGACATTATAAAGCAAATGGTGTGAATTGGGTGGCCGTTGGAGAAGACAATTACGGTGAGGGCAGCTCTCGAGAACACGCGGCACTCGAGCCCAGACATCTCGGCGGACGAGCTATTATTGTCAAGAGTTTTGCCAGAATTCACGGTATAATTGTATTCATTGTTTTCGTGATTAGAATTGTATTTTAATTGCGGAATATTTTGTTTGATAGAAACCAATCTCAAAAAGCAAGGCGTCCTTCCCTTCACTTTTTCCGACCCCAAAGATTACGACAAAATCCAACCGACGGACAGAATATCATTACTCGAACTCAAGAGTTTATCGCCGGGAAAGGTATTGATTGACTCAATTGTATTAACAGTTTATTAATTGAAATCTTAATTGTGAAACAAAAGTCAGTTAAATGCGAACTCAAACATAAGGACGGATCAAAAGACGTGATTGAATTGAAGCACACATTGAATGACTTACAGATCCAGTGGTTTAAAGCCGGCAGTGCTCTCAACAGAATGGCTGAACTTAAGAAATAAATCATTTAAATTTTGGTTTATAAATGTTTATACTTTAATAACATTTAATCGATAGTTAATAAAATTAAATGACATTTGAATGCATGAAAGCAAAACAATTAATTGATTAAATTAATTAAAAATCAAACTCAATAAAATTGCAAAAAAAATTATTTAAACATTTGCTAAGTTATTTGAAATTCAAATTTTGAATTAATGTTTTACTTTTTATTATAAATTGAACTTTATGTTAAAATAAATGGCAATTGTGTTGTATTTTTATGACATAATTATTACAATTTATAAGTTGATACAATAGCTCACAAATAATTGAGACATTTAATAATATGCAAATAAAGTGCAAGTTTTTACATCAAAATTTCATTACTCTCTCGAGATATGATTTCAGTTAAATGTTTAAAAACTTTTAAAAATAAAAGATTTAAACTAATCATGTATTTTAAAACTGATATTTATTGACAGTAAATGCAATATAAAAACCACTGACTGTTAAGTTAAAATTATTGTAATTAATAATTACTAATTATCATTAATCTATAATGAGCTCAACGGCTGAGACAATGAATAGCAGTGATAACAAAACGGTTGACAAAGAGAGGCAAAGTTCGCCCAAATCTAAGATAAAGTCAATCGATTCAATAGTAACGGTTCCCGAATCAAAGATAGAGCCGACACCGGAATCACAGGTTCAGCAATACATTCCTCTGCGGTATAGGAATCGTGTGTTCATTAAGCAGAAGCCGCCCAACAAATCCCGATTCCGACGAATACGTCTGGACTGTAATGAACTCAACAATTGTACTCATTATAAGAAGATATTTATTTTGTGTGCATCTCTTGTGATCATTGTTTTGGTCATTGGAATCGGTTGTTATGATAAGAGTGCAGAGAATGTCAGTAATGATAGCAATCAAACCCAAACCCAAACCACAACTCAAATGACAAATCAAACGCAAACCAAAATTGATAGAAAGCCTGAATGCAAATCGCATTACTATTTCCTATTTGTGTGTATTATAGCGATTAGTGTCGAGATATTCACACTTTTGTTGTATTTGTTTCACTTAATCGAAACGTTTTACAAACCAAAATTGATAGAAAGCCTGAATGCAAATCGCATTACTATTTCCTATTTGTGTGTATTATAGCGATTAGTGTCGAGATATTCACACTTTTGTTGTATTTGTTTCACTTAATCGAAACGTTTTATAAGATTCCGTGGCTTCTCATCGAAACAGTGTATTACACGGCATGGAGTCTACAGTTTCTGGTCATAGGCTTCTGGATGTCATCCGTCGGCAAATGGTTTATATTGTCATCGATTCTGAGCTTTTGTTCATCATTTTTGTGCTTTATTTTGGCTGTAATTAAATGCAAAAAGTATACGTCAGGAGAGGCGGCTCAGGCCAACGATCGCGACCCCGACGGCAATCGGCAACGAAGAGATTCACCAAATTATAAGTTCACTAAATCTAAAGACAATTTGAAAGACAAATTAGACCCTAAAAAGTCTGAAGAGTTTTACATGAAGAGTCTGGAATGAATTTTGTCTTTACATATTTAAGTGAATGTATGTTTAATATAATTTATTAGATACTAAACTAAATTAAATTAAAATACGATGAATTATCTATTTTATTGGAAATGTTTGGCTCAATTCTGAAGTATTGTTATTGTAATTATATACGATTATATAATTATATACAATACAAACTTTTAATTCATAATTTTATTTATAGAATAGTATTTTATAAATAGATGTGAAAGAAGTTGCAATCGATATGTTGTTCATAATAGCTATGGAATGGGTTTTCTCTTTCCGTGTGATTCTTGAATTAACATTATTTTGTCCACAATTTTTCCATTCTATACATAGAAAGTAACATTAGATTAGTTTGAGTTATAGTTATTCAGTAGAGTTATCGAAATCTGTATTTAAGACTTATTTCAAAACCATATAAATGTAATAAAATTGTTGACCTCTTATTCAATTTAAAAAACTATACTATAGTAATGAACGTCATTGACAATGAAAAATAATGTCAATCATCCCTCAAAGGGCTGTGTTTATGGCAAACCTGATCGTCAGATATCTGTTCCAGTGATAGATGCGAAGCGTTTAATATATGAAGTCTTGTGTAACCGTAATCTGAGTTACGAACGGCACTCCACGGCGGAGGGTTTGGTACGAACGGGTCGTGTCTTTCCTTACATCCCTATCAATACATCAGAAAGTACTGTATAATAAATGATAGATAATATGTTATAATCATATGGATTACAGCGGATCCGGTGATTATATGGACGGGCGCTGAGGGGTTAGTGTATGGTTGAGATAGACTGGCGTTATAAACGGTGCGGTTATATAAGGGCCACATTCTCTCGTAGACGTGTTCGTGTGCCCACAACTCCACGTCTACTCCATATTCATAAAACACATCCTCTAATCCGAGAGTCCGCACAATTGGCAGTCCTTTCCTAATCTTATAATTTTAAATACAATTTTAATCAGTTTTTAACTTTAATAAGGATTCCGCAAACTTACAATACTTTCTTTATGAGTGCAATCATCCCTTTATGGTATTTAAAAAGTTAATAACTTATTAATTTAATAATTTAACTCGTAAGTTATCAAATTGTAATAATTGCCTTGCGCAATTGACGCAGCACAATAAAATGATAATACACTTTAGCACAAATAATCGTCAATTCCTACCTGTCATCTGTGCTGCAATACATGGGTCGGTGGCCTAATGTGATAATCCATGGCCTCAACGCTCTGTTCTCAGGTTGATTAGCCTCTTGTAAGTCATTGATGAGCCAATAGTACTGTCGAACCAATTGTTTCCATCCGTATTGAAGAAAATAGTAGTATTCGGTGGAGAATGCGATGACATGTGCCGGTCCTATATTGAAGCTATAGTAGTGGTTATTCATTAAACCACTTCCACTGTTAACCATTGAGAATCGGTTGTCATAATTGGAAAAATTGCTGTCATAATTGAAATATTAAACACATTAGGAAATTGGTAACAATTTAGTGTAAACTCGTATTCTCACTATTTATATTCATGATTTCCGGGGCACACTTGGTACGGCACATATGCCGCTATCGACTCAATTTGTCTCATAAATTCGTCGCCAACTCTCCCGTTATCCTTATATCAAACATAGATTTCATTTGTTCTCATTTCCCGTGTAATTAATGAATGACTTACAGAATCCATATCATACGCAAAATCACCTGTAAATATAAATTACATTAAAATATGTTAACAAAAATCATTTGACTATTGAGGACCGATATGAAAGATGCTGTCGTATAGCCCTCGCTGTACCTCTTCTTGCAATCTGGGAATCGACTGCGAGTTTTCATTTCCCAAATCACCGAAAACAGCGATTCTTGGACTCCAATCGCTGCCATTCTTCGTGGCGTTAAACTTAAATAGAGGACTCCAGCCATCAGTGCTTCCGCAGTGATAGACTGGGCGTTGATTTTTAAGAATACCATAACTTATCACAATTACAAGACATACTGTATTGGTCTCCGGGTGTAAGTTGTGTTAACATAACTCTATGAATAAATATTTGTCGGCTTTCATTACCGCCATCGATGAATGAAGCGCTCAGTCCAGCGAGAGTTTGGTCCAAAGAATTCTTCCCAAACTCAACAGTTGATGTATTGGTGGCGTTGAATGTGGTCCACGTGACCATCATTTGTGTCGAATCGGCTTAAGAGATAATCATCGGCTCTATATTATAAATGTTTATTGAGATGAAATACTTAAATACCTCCATATGAGAGGTGAATTTGTTCGGGTTGTGTCCGCACAGGCGCTTGTACTTCAGCTCCAGTAATGTATAAGATATAAATAATGATCAAAAGGGCTGACAATAAACCAAAAGACATTTTTCGATTAAAAGTCTAATTAATGTTAAAAAAACAAACACTAAAAATATTTGTTAAGTTTTTGGTACATTAAATGGGATTTGATTTGCTTTACATTGTATTAGCGATTCACGTGTTAGTCAATGGATAAAATTGACATTTCATTTATAATACATTTGACTGATATGTTTGGTTATCAGCAATAATCAATAAAATATGTACACAATTACCATTAGTTATCATGAAATTTAAGTCCATTTTTGTTTGAAACTTGTCAACTATTTGGAACTAACAAATAAGAATATTATCATGGTCATTCTTCAGGGTCAAGTACGCGAACTGGTCAACATCATGGTGATTATTACATTAAATATAACAATGATAAATAATAAATTAAACCAAACAAACACAATATTGAGTTTGAATAAAAGTTTTAAGTATTATTTTGATATGTCATTTATTTTATCACTGATTGTTTGAACTAATATTTCACTCACAACTGTCTAAATACAACAAAAAATTAATTAATTGCAATACAAACTGATTCAAAACACTTGCAAACAAAATGTGTTATATTTCTATGAATTTATATCAACAATAAAAATGCTAATAAAATATAAGTGTATTAAATATTACAAAAGAATAATTATATACATATCCGGCCGACGGTTCACATGTTATATACCACACCATTATTCACATATCCTATTTATTCAACATTTCTCCATTAATTTTGATCAAAACTAAATTTATATATAAAAAGACTTGAAAACATTTATTCAAAATCTAAATAGTGATAGAATATTGAATATAAGATTATTAATTTGATGCAAAATGCCGTTATTTTGTGGACTATTTATTTGAGGAGTAATTCTTTGCGGTCGAGTATTGGTCGGCGGTCTTTGTATAGGGTTTGACGATTGATTTCCTAAAATATTATAATTTTGTATGACTTAATTTCACACTCATGTACTGTTTATACCCTTCCCGGTGTTCCCTGTATTGCCATTGTTATCGGGTTTTGTAATATCCACGGATCCCGTAGTGTTCCCTGTGATCAGTGTTTCATTAGATCTATTACTCGTTGTCTCGTTATATCCGTATAAATTTAAAAATTTTGGACTACACGGCGGATGTAAATCCAGTACAAACTGACAGATATAGTACATCTCTGTATCGCAAGAATAGTCTTCCCATTGGCCTAAAAACATGGGATCGTCGATAACCATAAAGACACAGTCTTCGCGATTCAAGTGATCGTTGGGCTGTCCCTTATGCCACCGGTTATAGTCCTTAATACTACAACCGCTCCGATACTGAAAGTCATTAACGCCTCCAAAGGGCACTCTCTTCGGGCCGATCCATAACTGAGGCTTATTGTGGTTATAACTGTCGTCATTGAAATCGTATTGCAGATGAAGACTCGCTTTGAAATTGAGAGAAACTTATTAAAAATAATTTATTTAAAAGTTTATTGATTTTCCAAACCATTTGTCTCCTGCAACGCCTGAAAGACCATAAAATTTTCGTTCAAAGTGTGAATTTCTAACAAATCAAATCCTCTGCCCATTTGTTGGCATCTTCTCTGTGCCTCATCTCTGGAGACCATTTCATAGAAAGGTTTAATACATTTCGTCTGATTTCCCTTCAAATGAATTGAAAATACTTTATATTCCTTCCAACGACGGGGACATACTTTCAAGAGTTTTTTAACAAAGTTTTTAAGTTAACATATTTTGCAAAGTTACACATAATTACTAAAAATTTAAGTTATAATAAATACCGATATCAGCAGAAATTGCTTGGAAAAGAATAGGAAATATTAATATTAAATACATTTTAATAGACTTAAAATAAAATGAACTTTTTTACAATAAATGTTTTTAAATAAAGAATATTACTTTTAGTATTGATAATTGTTTTAGGATTTTATGCATATTAATCATTAACAAAATGTGTGGGCTTTCATATAACATATTGTTAGCGGAATTAATAATATTTGAGAACAAACATAATCAAAGTATCCATTTTAAATTAGAAAATTTTCCTATTATGAATGTCCTATTGTACCAAATTTTTAAAACACAATAAATCAAACAGTAGCAACACATTAGACATAAGTTATTTTTACTCTAGGTACTTAAGAATTATGAATTGTGAAGATACCTAAAACTTGAGACTTTTTCCATTTATATTTTTCAACAAATAGCTACTTTATATTCATTTTTGTATTTATTACAACATTTCTATGGATAATACCCATAAAATTATGGCAATTAATTGTAATAAATTTTTGTAGTATTTGTTTTCTTATGTAATAAATTTAAATTTCTTATAAATTATATATTTAAATATTGCACATAAATTATTAATTAAGACTAAATATTAAAATTCAAAATATAACCTTTTGGTAATAATTAAGCAAAACATCTGTAATAAGAAGTTTGTTGGCAGACAGACATTAGCTTTAAATGGAGACATTTTGATTGCTTTTTAAATCCATTTTATAAATAATTAAATAAAATTATTTTAAAATGGATTTACAAAATCAGTGGCATATTTATGCCCTGATTTCAGTGATTGCGGTATTTTATTGGTAAATACTATTTCATATCTTTATATTTGAACTGAGAATTAAAATGCTTTCATAAATAAACAAGGTATTTCACCCGAAACTTTGACCGGTGGTCAAAAATGGGAGTGAATGGCCCGAAGCCGTTGCCCGCGTTGGGCAATATCCTTATGCTATACTTAAAGCCGTTCCCAATCGTGGAATTGGAGTTATTGGACAAATATGGAAAAATCTACGGGTATTTCATACATAGATTGTTATAAATGTTACCATCAATTCAATAGTAAATTACTACATTATATACGCTTGTGTCTGATATGCCGGTCACGCTTTATTGCAGGGCCTTCAATGGAAACCTACCAGTGCTCACACTGAGTGACCCAACATTTATTAAGCTAATCCTAATTAAAGATTTCCACAATTTCACGAATCGCCGCAAATTCAATACCAAACACGAAATACTCGATTCCAATGTCTTGTACTCCAGGGATGAGAAGTGGAAGCGAATGCGATCCATATCTAGCCCTGTCTTCTCCAACATTAAGCTCAAGAAAGTGTATCCTTTGCTTATGGAATGCGTGAATGACTTTTTGGTCGTTTTGAGAGATTACACACAAAAAGGCGAAGAAATTGATTTGAAAGAATTGAGTGGAAATTTGTCGATGGATGTGATCGCCAGGTGTGCCTTCGCCACCAAAATTAACTCATATCGAGATAATAACAATCCGTTTATCACAAGCGCTAAGAATATCTTCCATCCGACTGTCTTCAAGATCGGCGCCATTTATCGATGGATGTGATCGCCAGGTGTGCCTTCGCCACCAAAATCAACGCATATAGAGATCGTAACAATCCGTTTATCACAAGCGCTAAGAATATCTTCCATCCGACTGTCTTCAAGATCGGCGCCAGTTTTCTCGCTCCGGAATCTCTTCTCAAATTTCTGAACATTACTTCTATTTTTGATGAAAAATCCAATGAATTCTTCTTTAATATCAGCAGAGAATTAATGAATAAAAGACGGATTAATAAAGAAAAGCACAACGATTTCCTCCAACTGTTGGTCGATACGGCTGATGAGGGAGAAGAAGCCGACAAAAACCATAAACAAAGTGCTCTCAAAGAAGATATGACCCAAAATGCAAGTAAAGAATATTTTGCATTTGTTTTAAATGTTATTCTTTGTAATCGTATTTACAAAATATTGTTTTAATTATAAATTTAATGCAAACACAGATTTGCCGAAAGAGTTGTCAAATGAGATAATAAACAAGAATAGGAAACGTTTAAGTTTGACAGACAATGAGATCATCTCCCAGTCGTGGCTCTTCTTGTTGGCCGGGTATGAGACGGCCTCCACTGCCATCGCCTTTTGCTTCTATGAATTGGCACTCAATCCGGACATTCAGGATAAGGTTTACGACGAAATACAGGCAGCCATTGACCCAAACGCACAGATGGATTACGATATTCTATCAACACTTCCATATCTGGATGCAGTCATATCCGAGAGCCTAAGACGTTACCCGCCATTCTGTAGAGTAGAGCGCGAAGTGAAGAGTGACTATCAGTTGGCGGACACAGGCATCACATTAAAGGCCGGGGATTTGGTCCACATATCGATATATGCTGTCCATCATAACGAAGAATATTTCCCAAACGCCCAAAAGTTCATTCCGGAGCGCTTTCTGGCCGAGAATCGACACACAATA